AGGATTTCTCCCTCAGCCTTGGAAGCAGGAGTTGAGAGCAAGAGGTGGGTCATGTTTTGCGGCTGGTTTCTGCTTTCTGTGACACAGGCACCTCCCTGACCGCTGCTCCCTCCCAACGTGCCTGTGCTAGAAATACACAGCTCTGGCCAAAAATGTCTAATATTCAACAATAATACGCTCCATATAATAAACCCTCTTCTTCCAAGGGGTGCTGATAAGGATTTCCATTTTTAGTCGAGGGCAAATGAACCATTCAGCCTTTATTTGTTGCTATTGAAGAAGGAGCAGAAGCTAATTTTTTAACTGTTCCTGTAAATAGTGCATTAATGAAGACAGATGGGTCAGCAGTATAAACAAAAACTCTATCTCAAGCGAGTTTTGTTCTGGCTTTGTTTCCCAAGATAGTAAGCAAACCACCACCGTCCCGGTTCCCATCCTATTAACAGCGTTTGCACTCCAAATGTTGAACTGTGTTATAAGGAAGTTTAAATTAACACTGGGCTGTAGTTTTTCAAATGCTTCAAGCAGATGTTCAAGTGCCAGGAAATCTTCCTCTCTTTTTTTTTTTTTTTTTTTTTCCTAAAAAAAAAAAAAAAAAAAAAAAAACTATGGATTTTGCTGGGGTTTGGCTCAGTGTTTCACAGAAAATACTGAACCGAACCTCTCCCGTTGTGCTGGAGGTGAGGCAGGCACCAAACCGTTAAAACCCACAGGATCCTTTGGTATTTCTCGACTGCTGGAGGTTCTCCTTTGCTCTCCTCTCTGAGCAGTCTAAGAAGGACAGGGCAGTAGCTGGAGCTTGGGAGGAGAAGGCGGGCGCAGGTTTTGGCTGCTGCTTTGGATGGCGGTTGCTTTGGGAGATGATTTTTCCGAAGTGACCTCGGTTTTGGGGAGGCTGATCCTCATGCTGTTAGCTCCAGAGCTGCTGCTCACCTTGCAGGGCACACCAGCTTTGGAAAGATCCACAATATTCAGGAATACCTTTTTTTTTTTTTTTTTCACCCCAAAGACTGATATTTGCAAACTGGGAGCAGCGTGAGCCAGCGCCAGGCTGCTGTCATCCAGCGAAGAGCCGCTGCCAGGGAGAGGGGATGCCCGGCTTTCCTGCCAGAACAGCGGCGCTCTGCCCCTTGTCCCCAGGCTCCACAGGCTGTCCCCAACACCCCAGTCTGCCCAGAGCAAGGGCAGGGCTGGGGCAGCCGTGGCTGTCAAGCTTTAACGCCCAAAAAGCCGGGAATCTGTATCGGCCATCAGCCACCCAAGAGCGAGCCCGGACCCAGGGATCACACCCAAGGAAAGGATAAAGCAAGAAAGCTTTGGGGAGCAATCTCTTTGAGGAATTTTAGTCCACGTGTAGAGAGATAAGAGATATGGAAGCTCAAACTTCCAAGTGCTTTGTGAAATCTGGCACTGGTGCTGAGTGTTTGCACCGGAGACACAGCTGTCACCGTGGCTCCAAATGCCAAGAAATGAGTAAGATGTCTTGAAGTTCATGCTCTTCTGGAGGCATCGTGTGTGTCGGTTGAAGAGCAGCGACCCCAAACCAAAGCTCTCCCCTCACCTCCCTCGCTGCTGTGTTATCCGGGCTCCTCCTCTCTCGCTGGTGTTTCTGCTCCCACCCCTTTGCCTGTCCCGTCTGCCTGGCATTTCGTAGCGCCCAGCAAAAAAGGAGCTTCACACCTGCTTACCCTTTCTTACATATATTAAGTTAGAAGCAGATGAAAGCAAAAATCCAACTGATGTTATTTCAGCGGGACGGGGTTGCTGCCTCTTTTGGCTTCGTGCAGTAATTCAGAAATGAATGGACAGATGGACGCACGGATGGAAAAACAGACACTCCCATGCTGAAGCCACACTTTCCAAACCTTTCTGAAATGGGTTTGCACTTTTAAGCTTGAAGTCAAGTATCTGCTAGCATGCTGATATAAAATAGATAAGAAGCGAAAGAAAAATCAATGCACGAGACTATTTAATGTGAAAAATAAATTCTTTTAGAAACAGGAGAAGTCACAGTACTAATGTGGGTGGATGGGTGGATGGATGGAGGGATGGAGGGAGGGAGGGAGGGAGGGAAGAAGGGAGGAAGGAAGGAGTAAAGAAACAAAGAAAATGAAAACATGCAGTGGAATATTTTTTCAGGGACTTATCAGTGACACTACCAGCACTTACAGCTGGGGAGCACTGGCTCTTATCAGGCACTCACCATGGGATGTGTGAGTGTCGGATCTGTGGGGACAGGTGCATTTAAAGCCAAGCGCTTCTGAGTCTGCAGAAGCAACCTTAATTTGCTACTTGGGGAAAACTCTATAAAATAACTGCCCCCTCTTTTTTCAGTGTTGTTTTTCCTGATCTGTGCCATCTAACTGCATGAACATCCAGCAGATGTCTTTGCACAATTAGATCCAAAGGCAGAGTTTTGCTCATCAAGCAATGCTCACGCAGTCCTAAGAGACACAGATTATTGAATGAAATCCTGTTCTCTCTAGTTCTGATCTCAGGTTATGAACAGCATCGGTGCAGCTGAAGGATTCAAGAAATGCTCAGTTTTCTCCCAAAACAGCACAATAGGATACGTCTCATGCTTTACAGTTTTCCAACACAAGCTCTGCCCAAAATCCTGCTGGACCAGCAGCACATCCCTCGTTCCTTCCTAAAGCTACTCATGACGGAAAACTGGCTGGCCCCTAACAGCTATCATTGATCTAAAAACTGGCTGGCCCCTAACAGCTATCATTGATATTTTTACTGATCTTGTAAAAATTCACACATGTGGGTTTGCTAACTGACCAAATGACGTGTCCACCCACGTTTGTGCGGTTCTGTAACACCCTGTGTGCTCTCTGCTCCCTTACAGCACGTCTGGCGACATGAGGGTGCGAAGGCAGCCGCTCTGCTTTGCTACGTGCTCGCTTGAAAATTTCTAGCGATCACGGGTGATTACAGGGCGTAGGCATGGGTCCTCCTCCGGGCTGTTCAGAATTGCTGGTGCTGTTCAGCAGAGGCCGGTGGTGCAATGAGGCACGCAGCCAGATCGCTGCCCGGGGAACAGCCGCAGCAAAGAGATGATAAAGGCAAATGTCGGATTATCTCCCTAACGCTGGATTATCGCTCCTAACAAGGTGAATGGTTTGTCTTGGCAAATGGCTTCATAAGAATTGTGGATAGTTTTGAAAGGTTCTGCGTGGTCACACTTCAACCGTTGGCTGCCGCAGCTCGTGTCAGCAGAGCAGAATATCACACCTCTTACGAATTCTTTTAACGTGCCACCGACCGCAGCCCGAGATTGTGGCGTGGCTCAGGGGAAAGGTCCGTGAGCGGTGCCAGTCACTGGGAGGGTGAGATCGGGAGCTGGCATAAAGCAACGCAGCCCCAGAGCGCAGCCCGCTATCTGGAAACACGCAGCACGAGTGGAGACCGCACAACTCGACAATAAACGACACGGCTGCCCACTTCAAGCAACAATACCCCTGCGAGAGCAGCTCTACACTGGACCAGACCATACGGGCTCCAGAATGCTGCTTAAATTAGGGAGAGAGCAGTCCTGTGAGCAAGGGAGGTAACTGGCATTCACGAATATCTAAGGGAGGAAAAATAATCATCAACCCCAACCTCTGCGCGGCACAACTCAACAGAGAGTCAAATAGGCTTGGTACAAGGTTTTATCCAAGCGGGATTACACACAAGCACAAAAATAAACCATTCTGTATTCTACATTATATTACAGAGGCAGGCAGTCAATAAATAGGTCAATAAATTATGGGAAGCACAGAAGAGTATGTGTGAAAACAGGTGAAACTGGTTTTAGTTGGTGCGTGATAAAAGTCTTTTGTGTTCATTCCCACCAAGTGTTAGAGTGATTCTTTCAAAGCCCCTTATCGCTTCCAGGGAAGATAACTTTCCCTTAAAAGTGTAAAACACACGCAGGGACGGTACAGTAGGCTCTGGTACAGGCTAAAAGAGTCAACGTCACTTACACTTTCCCAAGAATCTGACAAATTTGCAGCTTAGTATAAATAAAGTGACTGGTCTATTGTTTCTCAGCTCCGACACCTTCTTATCACCGAGATTTGTTGCAGAAGAGTGGCGGAAACATGGCATGTGACTCCATCCTAGAGGGTTTAGGGGGTGGAGGGGCAAGATCTTTAGGAATTGACGACTCCAGCACATCCATAAAGGAAAGATCCTCTCTAGCTAGCGGGCACAAAGGGGTTCCTTTTCTGCCTAGCTCTACGCAGACTAAACACAGCGCTACCGCTCGGCCATTTGCGTGGGGTTGCAGAACTGCGTTGGGTGGAACTCACCGGACCGGGTGGGGGGACTGGTTTCTTAGCTGGTATAAACTGGGACAATTGGAAGGATTCAGGAAATTTACTGCAGTTATTTCTGCCACCTAAAGCTCTGGCCCTTGAGAGACAACACAAAGCCAGCAGTGCTTCGTGCGACATGCACGGGGGGGAATTTCTTGCCGTCGCACGTCAGCCTGGCATTGCTCCTGGGCCCCTCGCTCTACGAAGAAAGACAGGAAAGGGGATGGTTCCCTTCCACTCCAGATGCAAATCATCCCTGCCAGCTACTGACACAGGGAAAGATTAAAGAAAGGATTAACAAAAAAGGGAAAAAAGTCTAACACCTGGTTGTGCCTTAGTGATTTAGGAGCTTGAGGGTTATCAGGAATTCAGATCTTCAGAGATAAATAAAAAAAATCTGAGGGTGTAAAAATCTTTATAAAGATTTGACAAAATACTGAACAATCTAAGTGTGTATTGCCTATGGTATTCACCTATCCTCAATAGCTCTGGAAATCCCTATAGATGCCAATCAAAGTTTATAAAGTACAAAAATACGCCTTTATTTCTGTGGATTTGAATGTGCACCTTTGGCACAGAGAGCCCTCCCAAAACAATCCAGTGATCTGCTCTATGCCCTGACAGGAAGAGAGACTCGGTCATAATTTGGACAGCAAAGAACAGCGAGAAGCAAGCAATGGAACAAAATATACATTCCCTACGGTCGTACGACTTGCCCATTCCCCGTAACAGGAAACATACAATTATCTGTACATGCCTCATTAAATTACCTTATTAAATAGGAAATCCGAAATGTACAAATTTACAGAATCATTAAATACTTCCCCTGTGCGCTCCCCTGCATGCATTCCCCGCTACTATCTGCAGCCACACTCTGATACCACCATGCCTTCGTATTTGAACTTGTAGGTGACCACCCCTGCATCTAAATAGAGGATAGAGATGGGGTCGAGTTTGGTGGGCACGCAGCAGGCCTTGGAGGCTTTCTGGGGGTTCTTCAGGTGAACCAAAGTCTGGACAATGGCGTGTTTCGTAGGTGTGACGTGCTCCGTTAAGGGGTAGGCGCACACTCCGTGGCACTCGTAAGCTTCGTATCCCGCCGGGGCGATGATCCAGGAATCCCAGCCAATCTCCTTGAAATCTATGTAGAGTGGAGTCTTTTTACAGTAGTTGCCTTTTGCGTTCCTCCGGATTCGGGCAGTAGAGTCGTAAATGATGTTGGAGCGCATCTGGAGCAGCGCCTCCTCACCAGGATGGCCGTGGAAATTGCCAACCTCCAGGCTCTCCAGGTCCAGGAGCTGCTCGTGGTCTATCATTTCGTTGAGCTCTTGCTTCTCCTCCTTTTTGTCGTTGCTTTGGTCATCAGAGAACACAATCAACAGGGGCACGTGCTTGGCCTCAGAGTTGATGTCGATGTCCAGTTTCCCCTCTCCATTCTGCTCCTCCCCTTCCTTGCTCTCTATATGAACTTCCAGCCGGTGCGTGGTCAGCCCTGCCCTTCGCCAACGCCGGATGGCTTCGGTGACCTCGAAGCTCTCCCACTCGCTGCTCGTCCCGTAGATCTGCCTGGATGCCAGTGCCACTGTCTTTCTCTCTTCTCCTACCCCCATATGGTTATTTTCCAGCACTTCAAAAATCGTGACCTTGCGGTCAAGCCCGTCGTAGAGCATTTGGTCCCGCTCCACCAAGGTGTAGAGCCTCAGCTCTGCCATGGTGATTTCTTCATGGTGAGGGATGGAAACGTTGAACAGAAGAGGGTATTTCCGAACTCCTGTAACACCAGTAGGGTGGGAAGCCAAGTCTGGAAACGACAAAGATCAAATATTTTAGAAGGGTCAATACATCCAGCAACACACGCACGCAAGTTCATCTGACATGATTTGCATTGCTTGGGTTCAGTCGAACTGTTCCAGGAGAGGGTTTTTTCATTTCTCAAAACCATACTTGGAAAAAGGCTGACTTTATTTTAGATGTCTAAAGACATCAAGATGCCAGACATGCTAAAGACCATAAACCTGGATTTATAGATTCTTTTTTTTTATCCCCAGGCTTTCCAGGGACTTGTCACCTGAAAGGATTACACGTTACAAATGTGTCGCCTAATCCTGAAATACAAATCACCTCTAGGTTGCTGCACAGCAACTATTTCATAAAGGAGGAAGGGAGCAGTGTAGTGAGGAGAGGAAGGGAATAAGGATGTTGCACTGGAGTGAACATGAGCCCAGCGACGTTTAAGCTGCGTATGCGAGAACAGCAGCCTGTACCTGTGCCTGAGCAAGTGTTCCCTTCTGCTGAAACATCCCTCAGAAACCAAAAGGGCCAAGCACTAAGGGAGGAAAAGTTGCTTGGGAAGATGTAAAAGCTCCTGGTTAGGAAGAACAGGTTCTGAACATCCAGTGTGAACCGCCAGCCCACAGAAATCTTGCCATGGACTCGCGGGTTTCAAGTGAGCAGGCAAACAGCTGTACTCAGCCAGGCATTTTGGCAGCTGCAGTTAATAAAACGTATGAGAACATAATAACTGCTCATCCATCCGGCTGCCCGTCCTGTCTGCGCTGTTTGTTTACACATCAGCAACACGCATTGCTTCACGCAACGCAGGGACCCTCGCTAGGGACCGTGCATTCTGAGTTACCGGGCTGTCTACTGGTAGCTCAGAAGACAGATGGGGACGTAGAGACTATGGGTAACATTTCTGCAAAGGCAAACTACTTGCAACATTCCTATCTTCACCCCCGACTTCTCCAATTTTGCTATGTTTGTAGAACAATGACACTGATAAAGCTGCAAACATTGGCCAGTCTCCATCGGCGCACTGAAGCAAGCAGTTAACAAGCACGTGACTTGTCCTACTTAATTGCAGTTTTGTGGTTTTGAGGCACTTGCCTTTTTCTTTTTTTTTTTTTTCCCTCCGTTTTGTACTTTCATCTGTTCATAAATTTTAAAAAATGAGGGGTGATTCTGCCTGCATTTCCCTACCTGACAATTAATAGAAGCGGGAGCTGAGGCTGCTCCGCACAGCGCCAGGGTAGGAGCTGAAAGACAACGCTGCTCAAGCTTAGCTACAGGCTCCATTCTGGACGTAATCTTTGGGATTTTCTAGACCTCGATATGCTAAAGCAAGTCTTCAGTGACCACATATAACGACGGGGTTGGGAAATGCCACCTGGCTGTATAGAGGATGAGCACAAGCAATTCACCAGGAGGCAGGGGAGAGACATGCCATTGAGAAGCCGGGTGAGCGCTGGCAGGACATGAGAGGTGTTCGTGCCTAGGTCAGGATGGGACTCTGCTCTTCAGCTAGAAAGCCCACAGGGTGAAATATCTCCTGCTGTCACCAGGACAGCCCTAGCAGGGTCAGGGAGGGAGATCTGGAGTCTGCAGGCAAAGAAAAATTTCCCTGAAGAGCCTCATTCAAGTTTTAAGAACTGATTACAGTCCCATTTACCCGTCCACGGGTTAAACAAAGAGGTAATTCCAGCCATGCAGCACGTTGTATGTCTATAGTGTTCTTATAACAAATTTAATAAAGGATTTAATGGATAATAATGGAACTGTCATTACTGCCAATTTTCAGTGGGCAAATGAACAAAAAAATTCCATGGTATGATCTGTTTCTACTGTCCCGATCATCGCAAGTAATTAATTTCTCTATCAAAAGAGCTCTTTAGCATGAAATGGATGGGGTTTTGGTTATGCAGATTTTCAGGACACGTAACAAACATGAATTGCATCGTCCCTCCAACGGCATGCACTTGTGAAGCTCCCTCGCGTCAGCAGGCTCAGTTCACATCTGCCTGGTTTGGATGGGGAGAGGGGAGAGAAATACTGAAATGACAGAGGGTTAAGCCAAGTTTACCCCATGTGGCGCAGAAGGGCAGCGAGAAATAGGCATCGAACGTCACGGTTACAGAGAGGCAGAGAACTGCAAACTGCTGGCAAGAGGTCAGCCTGCACGGTTCACAATGCTGCAAACCCCAAAGCATTGCACCTCTGCCAGGGGAATGGTTTCAGGCTTATGCCACTAAACCACCCTGGATGTTACCCTTTAGTATACTGCACTTGGCAATTTTTATCCCATTAATTTTTTTCTGAATGGTGCAAAATGAGAAAAGAACACGTCTTCATTTACGCTGGGGAGCGGTGACAGGCGCAGACGAGTAACTGTTCACCAGCGGGTGTAAATGGTTTGCCATCAACCCTTCCATAAATTTCTCAGCACTGGAGAAAAGAATATATGAAACAGATTGAAGCCACAATGTAAGTGCCTCTTCCAACCAGAAACACGGTGCTGGTGGAGTGCCCAGGGTGGGCAGAAGGGTGGAGCAGAGCGGAGCTTTTAGCTTCTCTCCCTGCATCTCACCGCCTTGCAAAACTGCACACAGCTCATCGTTTCGGAATTGCAAATGTTAGAAAAAAGCAATAGTGACTTCTCTGCTTCATTAATGAGATAGCAAAGGGTGAGAGAAGCCCCACGGTGGTTTGAATAGTTGCATGCGCCCCTAACACACATGAAAGCATTTGCATGTGCCAAGGGGAGGAGTTGCTATTTGGAATCGATCGGTTGAAAAATGGTTTTAACATAAAAACTGAATTGCTGCCAATAGGTATTGAGAAACTATTGAATGTTAGCGCTGGCACGCCGTCTCGTCCTCACTGAACTGCGAGGAAATGCCGGAGCAGAAACATACGGGGAAGCTACACACGGTCACAATTAGGCTTCTTCAGCTTTTTTTTTTTTTTTTTTAAGAGGAAATGTTTTCCAAAGTAAAACCTAAGAGTTATCCAAAGTTCTGCTTCAGCTATTTCTGGGTATTTGCCAGACTATGCTCAGGCACCAGAGGAAGAAAACATTACGAATCCCATGAGGATCAGCAGTGAGAGGATATTAACAGCCAGCCAGCTTTGGTTAAGCTCCTAACAGGGAAAGGTTGCACCTTTGAAGGGTTTGTAAAAACATTTCTTAATTTCAAACATTACGTAAGGTATCCATTTGAAAAATCAATCAGGTAATTGCAAATGACGTGTGCCATTATGGGGATAACGGCAACGATGCACCCAAATTATACTTGGTGCTGCCCAAACATTAAAGAAACATCTTCTCCCAAAACCTTCCGGTCTCAAAAGCACAGGACAAGGGATCTGTCTCACAAGAAGCGGGGTGTGGGTACCACCGGCACAAGCAGCTCTAGCTGCCTATGTCCAGTGAAAGGCTTTTTTTCCCCAAGTGTGGAAAAATTTACCGTGCCCAGTAAACACATTTCACATTGACGATAAGAGCACTCATTTCTAGTTACTCCTCCTAGAGATGCACGTATCTTACCTTCGTTTTTGAAGCTCCTGATAATATTTGCGGATGGCATAGAGGTCCTGTCGGTGGCAAACCTGTTGTACAGCTCTAGCATGTACTCTGGGGGGTCCACCTTGGCCGTTTCGTGCAGGGGAATGTCGGAGAGGTTCAACGTCTTCAAAAACTCGTTTTTCATATTCTGAAGCAGCGTGTTGAAATCAACACCATCCTGCTCGGAGAGAATCTCGTCGAAAAGAGGCACGTCTTCCTCCAAGGAAGAGTGCTCCAAGCTCAGGATGGGACTGCAAGAGGCAAGGTGAACCAAGAGACAGAGGACAGCCCACAGCTGGGGGACAACAGGATCCATGGCTTCGCTCTAGCCTCCAACCGCACTCAACGAGCTCTAGCTCTCGTGCGGGCTAAGTGGCGGTTTTATCCCCTGCGTCGTACGCGGCTTGTGTCACAGAGAGTTGACAAGTTTGGAAGCTCTTGTCTTGAAACTTGTGATCCGGCCTGTCTGTCTCCCCCTTCCCCCTCCCCAAAAGCAGGTCTCGGTAATTGGATATGGCTTGCTCCCTTCCATGGTCGCCTTGCCGCTCTTATCTCGCACAGTGTAAGCTGTTCACCAGATTTGTTGCTATCTCGCAATCCCCTTTCCCTTAATGAGCGTTTTGTAAACATTCTGCGCTAGGACACTTGGAGATAGGAGAAGTTTCTCCTCGGAGAGGAACTGCCCTTTCTTTCTGCCTCCTGGTAGCCGACTTCCTTTGCCGTGCACGAACAACTTTCATCCCCGCAGATTTCGAGCTGACATGTAAATTCTACAGAGCCTCTGTCCAAACCCAGCAATTCTGCACCAAGGGCAAAGAGTAAGGTAACAACTCTGCCCTTCCCAAAATGATTTTAAAGCCAAGTCCTTATGCTACGTTTGCAAAGGAACTTATCATAGAATCACAAAATCATAGAATCACAGAACCCTTTGGGTTGGAAGGGACCCTAAAGCCCACCCAGTCCCACCCCTGCCATGGGCAGGGACCCCTCCCACCAGCCCAGGTTGCCCAAAGCCTCATCCAGCCTGGCCTTGAACCCCTCCAGGGATGGGGCATCCACAGCTGCTCTGGGCAACCTGGGCCACTGCCTCACCACCCTCTGAGTGAAAAATTTCCACCTGATATCCAACCTCAATCTCCCCTCTCTTAGTTTAAAACCATCCCCCCTCGTCCTGTCACTGTCACCCCCTGTAACGGTCGCTCCCCCTCCTGTTTACAGGCTCCCTTCAAGCACTGGGAGGCTGCAGCGAGGTTCCCCCGGAGCCTTCTCTTCTCCAAGCTGAACAAGCCCAGTTCCCTCAACCTTTCTCCGTAGGAGAGGTGCTCCAGCCTCTGATCATCTCCGTGGCTCCTCTGCCACCATTCCAAGAGCTCCATGTCTTTCCTGTGCTGGGGACCCCAGGGCTGGACCCAGCACTGCAGATGGGGGCTCACCAGAGCGGAGCCGAGGGGGACAATCCCCTCTCCCTGCTGGCCACCCCTTTTTCAACGCAGCCCAGGACATCGTTGGCCTCTGGGCAGCTCCTCGGCCACCAGCACCCCCAGGGCTGCTCTCGAGGAGTTCTTCTCCCAGTCCACACCAGTACCTGGGGTTGCCCCAACTTCTTTGGGACCAGGTCCGTTCTCCTGTGCTTGTACAGCACGCGGGACACAAGAGGGGCTCTAGGAGCTGCCACCATGCTGGAGTCCCAATGCCCTGAACCCAGGGGAGCGGATGAGATGATCTGAACATCAACACTGAATACCAACATCTGTACGGTGCCGCACACCGTACAAACACTCAGAGACAGAGCGAGGACTGGAGCATTTGCAAATTGTTCAGAAAACCTTTCCTTTCGCCTTTATCTGTGTGACTTGCCAGGTTACAGTCATTCTTCATTTAGCCACAGCACGGCCAAAGACGCTGTCTAAAAATTACTGAAAACACACAAAGGCCAGCAGACGGCTCTGACTTCACCTTCGTAACCATTCAAATCGCTCAAAGGCACAACGTGGGGAACGTGGAAACGATTTTGCCAGAAAGATGTGCTAAAGTTGTTTGGTTGGCCTTTCGGCTTCAGTGTGGAAAGTTCAACAACGTGCGAGCATCGGGCACGCAAACGCTGGCCAAGCTCTTAGGTGAGACCGTCCACCCAAACCTCCTCATTCCCACCGACTTTTCCAAAGTGCCCCTGTGCCCCGCTGCTCCAGCGCTCAGGATAACGAGATGCTTCAATCTCTGTGGATTTTCTCCTTGCAAGCACTTGGAACTTAACCCGAAGGCTAAACCACCGCTGAGCTGCTGATTTTTCTGGACTCTGCTTTTCCATGATCGCCAAGAACATCCACGGATTTGTTGCCCCATCTCTGCAACTTTATTCCTTCTTCAGTAGTCTGAATGGCCACAGCTGCAGTAACCTCATTAGAAAGATGCTCAAGTCATGCCTGTTTTGTTTTTTTTTTTAAATAAATATCAATATCTTTGTGAAAATCATGTGCAGTATTGATGTCATAGAGCCAGACCTTATCGTGGTCTTTTAATGTCATTTCAGTCAATTTTTCTCCTAAACATGGGGAACTTGACAATAAAAGCTAAGTGCATTATCAAGGTCCCTGTTACTGCTACATGACGTTAGAAGTGGATATTTGAGCTCGGGAAGATTAATTTAGATCTCATTGTGGAGTTGATGGTTATCTGTGCAAGTTGATCTACAAATGCTTATCAAAGGTTCATCTCTGAATATTGCGGCTTTCCAGAGCTAAGCGCTGAAAACTGACGGGAATTTGGAGCTGAGCTCACGTCACTTCTGTTAATTGACTTTAACAGAAAAGCACAATCTTCGTTTGCTGGTGACTCACCACCCGGCTCTGCTGCGCCGCAGTCCCTATTGCCAAACCATGAGAACAGGAGGAGCCTGGACTCCTTCACGCAGCACGATACTGGCCGCGGCACAGGAAAGTCCTCGGGACGGCTCGTCACAGGCAGCTCCACAGGCAGGGGGTTTGTCACGGGAGCGACAGCACCTGCAGAAGGGGTTTCATTTTTTAATGCTTGAAGATGAATTTCAGAAATGCAGTGACCTCGACGTAGATACTATCACAGGAAAGAGACAAGCACGTTGCAGAGCTGCTGCTGCTGGAAGGCAGCGGGTGCTGAACCTTCACAGCATACGTCCTTCCGCTCGGTCCTCGCTCAGACCTGGTTTTCCTTCTCGACCGAGGATGGACACCAGCTCGCCCGCACCGGCAGCAGCGCACAGAGGTGCCTTGCGGAGCTCGCAAGCACCGGGATCTACGGGATTGCACGGCTCCTTGCTGAGGGTTTGGGGTTTGCCATGAGATTTAGGGCTGGAGGTTTTGAATTTAAAAGGATTTTTTTCAGCATTTGCATGGCCCTGAGGTTTTTAGCTGAGTCTCCTCCCTCACTCTGAACACTGCGGGTGTTTTTGAGGCTGCACCTGACCCTAATCAGACCCTGAGCGAAATTCTCTGTTGCTCTGCCAATCCAGATGAACAATTCTAGAGCCAGAGGAGTTTTTCCAGGTTCCCTCCGCTTTCCTATGAATCCCAACTGGACCTGCTGAGCAGCTCTGCTTCGCCGGGTGACGGAACCGAACGGCATCACGCGGAGGCTCCGGCAGCGAGGCGGGCAGAGCTGGTGCTGCCTGGGGCAGAGGCTGGGCTGGTGGCTTCTCCAGGTGCATCTTCTATAAACCTGTAACTTCACAGATATAAACACGTAAAGCAAAAATCAGTGTGTGCCCAGTGGTCTGCCAGAAGTCTCCTAACCCACAGATGCCTCGGCTGGATGCAGAGGCTCATTAGGAACACAGCCTCTGCTCAGACATTCCAGCCGGCTTTGCATTTCCGCTCCCGTCCTGATAATTCCTTGGGCAATTGCATTCCGAAGGGCAACGCAGCCTGCTGTGTTATGTACGAACCCGCTTTTCCCCAGTTTCCCACCTTATTCAATTTAGACCCTGCTGGGGTTTTGCCAGATGAGGAAAACCCATAGAGTCCATCGGATAGAAAAGCAGCTCCCAGTTTCCTCAGGTCGCAGGCTGATGAATTCAACACAGGTATTTTTTAAACGTTAAAACGTTTAACAGAAGGGCTTTATTTCATGTCACTAAAATGAAGAGGTTTGGTCTTTTTTTTCACATGCACTGCAATTTCATAGAATCATAGAATCATAGAATCATAGAATCATAGAATGGCCCGGGTTGAAAAGGACCACAGTGATCATCTAGTTTCAATTTACACGCACAATAAGTATCCTAGAAAGGAAATTACCCTCAAAAAAAAAAAAAAAATCTGTGCTACAGACATTAACTGAGGTAGCTGGAGAGGGAACATTAATCAGCATCACTCTTTAATTATTACTAAATCTGCAGCAGAAGCAATGACCCCACTGCGTTAACGGTCCATCAGGCAGGCAGAGATACAGGAAGGTCTCCTGGCCCTCGCTCCTGGGAAGTTTGTGTTCGTTTCCCCCGGGAATGTTCAGCTGAACACGGGAAAACGTGGCTACGGAAAACCTCAGCCCCTGCGCTGAGCCTGGCAGCGCCGGGAGACAGCATTCAGTGCGTGTCCAGCGCTGGTTAGTTAATGTTTCCCCCTCCTGGCGGAGGGGGCTCTATGGGCTGGACGCTCTCCGTCCTTACGCCACGGTAGGAACC